CAGACATTCCAGGATAAGAGACAAATCCATGTTTGACCTAGTATGAGGAGTGCATCCTGCATTCATAAAGGCCAAGCATAGCTCCACAGGTGCAGCTAGATCAAGCCATGAGTAAATAATCAAGCTAAATGCAGGTCTGCAGTTTCTTCCTGTTCATCTGTGCTCGACCTCATGGTTGATCCAAAAATTGACTTTTTGCATCCCACGTTACAGTTTTGCACTACTTTGTCATAGGCTATGATATAAAGGTTCAGTAAAATAACCAGAGGTGTGGGGTAATAAACTGATGTGAAAAATTTTAAATAAGAAGACCTCTGTTTGAAGCATACAGCTGGAGTCAGAACATAAACTTTTCTGAAATGGGTCATTAAAAACTGGTGACAACATCCCTTGTTTAACATTTGCAGCAGTATTTTTTTTGTTTCTGTTTTTTTATGGTCTCTTAAATAAAATGCCTTTTTTTTTTCCTTTATGTAGCCTTTTCACTTTCAGCCCAGCGGTCCTAAAATATGAGGTCACTTTCTTTTTAAAAGAGATTTAACACACTCAATATCTCTATACTACCGTGGTCAGGCCAACACAATTTTCTGTGCCTTTTCATTCTTTATTGGAAATGCTCTGAGTGCTATTAAACATTGTAAAAAAACGATAAGAGGGTATTATGCTTTTTATAACACTGGTGATAAGGGGCTTTTTATTTCTTTTTAGAGCCTTATCTACTCTTCTATATGGCTACCTCTTATCAGGGATTATTTTCGAGACATTTGAGAGATTAGCTCAGATTCAGTTAACATTTTTTTCTCTCTCTCCTGGAATTCGATCTGTTTATACTATTATGTCCAGTACAATATTACAACATTGACAGGCCTGGAACAACAAGAATAGATTTCAGGCACTCAGCCAAACACTCTCTGGTTTCAAATCACAGGTTTAACTAAAAGTAGGTGATGGTCATGTTCTCTTCCAGCTGCTGCATCAATAGGCACAGTTAATCTTTACACCGGAGAGCCTTTACCCTGATTCTGGAAACTATTTTTAACCTCCAATTATGTCTATTTTTCTCAGGTATGACTGCAGAAGACCTTCAAAAAAGTTTTATGCAAATCTGCAGACTAAAAGCTTCATTCTTGCTTAACTTCAATGCTGCAGTACAGATTCGCAAAACTTAGTAATGGGTAGATAAAGACGCACATAAGCTAGAGCAAACAATACATTTATCAAGCATGTCTATAGGGTATGTTTGTAGGAATGGCAACAACTCATAGCTGTTCTGCACTGAGACACATTTCCCCGCTGGCAGGCAAGTCACTGAAGTCTGAAATGACAAAAGGGCAACTAATCATGCTTGAACAAGCTGGAATCAAAGTCATGACTTCATGTTTATCAGAGAACTAATCTCTGATTTACAGCCGCTTACAAAATAAGATTTTAAAAACAAAAAAAAGTGACATTTTATAAATTTGATGTAAGCCTTTCATGGAACAAAGTAAATAATACACCTGGAAACAGAATTATCCTTCTCATTTTTTTTATTTGACACATACTCAATTTGCTCCTCTTCCCCAAGCAGTGTAGAAAAGTTGCAAAACTGGTCCTGTGACCGAATTTGTTTAAGCAAGAAAAGCATTTCTTTATTGACAATTTGGATTCCATAGCAACAACCTCCCTTGCGGAAAAAGAAAACAAAGTTTGCAAACATTTCTTGAAGCATTTAAGAATTTGTTCAGTCTGGAGAGTACATCAAGGATCATTACCTTCTCGGATAAATAACAGAGTACAAACTTTTTATAGTTGGCTTCTTCTTGCAGTTTTGCTACCAGCACTCAATTTAAATAAATCCTTCATTTTGTGTAGTTGGAAAATCTATTTGAGTTCTTTGAAAGATGCTCCCTGCACCTGCATCATTTTATTATTTCTCTTCGGAGCTCATCTCAAACCTGAATCAGACTTCATATGTTCATTTGCAGGTTTGCAATGGCAAATTTACAGCTGAGGAAGTTGAAGAAAACTACATAAAAAAAAAACACCCAAAAAGTCGATAGATTATTACATTGTGAAGGTAGCACTAACACTCCACACTACGGCTGCTGTCTGTTGGATGATTCTGCAGGTCTTTTACAGTTCATGTAACAGTATGTTGAAAGATCTAATGGAAAAGCTTTTTCCATTAGATCTTAACTAGCTTTGAACTTTTACTTATAAAAGCTAAAACTGGCTAAACAAATAAAATCCTTACAAATGTTGCATTTTGTTTAATAGTTATAGAAACAAATGTTTAAATGCAAGATATCAAAACATTTCTTACAGTATTCAAAGAAGATTCCATTTCATCACTCCTTTTCTTCAATCCTTTTAAAATCATATTTTCTTAAGTAATCCAATGCAAACTTCCAGTTATCTGTTGCTCATCTCTTTTGGCACTTTGAACCCTTTGATTTCCTCAGTCTGCTTTTGGTGTCAAGATCAATTTAACAGAGCTTAGATTGGTGTTGAATGCAACTTAATGATAATTTCAAATTAAAAGCTTGAAGTTTATACAAAGGAATCCTCATTGTTCAGAATTCGTCACTTGAACATTACAATAAAAGCTTTACTCTTAAGCTAATTTTTTTTTGATAAATTGGATTTCTAACTTCAAGTGAAATAAAAACACCAGGGTTTCTTGCATTTTTTTTTTTTGCATTAATTGGTCTATGATCATCTGCTTTTTATCATTTCATGAGGTCAGTGTCTAAGGTTTGATATTATCACAGTGCTTTATACCTCTATCTCCAAATAGATTAATAATTCATCCTCCTCTGCACTGTATATCTGTTGGGTTTTAAAAAAAAAGTATTTATATAGCGTGCTTCAATCACACTCTTAAATTCAATTTGTCCCTAATTTTTTAACAAAATTCATTTTACCAGAGTCATACAGAATTAACAGAAACAACGGACGAGTCCACTGGGGCTGTAGGACTGCTTATGGTGTTGACATTGCTGCAGTTTTTTGTATGTTGTAGAATTTTACTGTCTCTGAAAATACCATGCATGTAAAATAAAGGTTGCAATAACATAAATAATGTAACAGTGAAACATTTCTTGCAACACATTGCCCAGGTAATCATTTAATAGCTATTGTGTCATCTGCATTATTTGTGTAATGACCTAATACCTTATGTTTTAGGATTATATATGAGTCATCAAACAATCACTTCAAGGTAAAGGTATTTTATCTTGCATGTCCAGGGTACTTTTAGAGGTTTTCATAGGATTGTTGCAAGCTATACTTGAAAACAGCCTTTTTGTAAGGAGCTGTGTAGAATGGCAATTTGTGTCCTGAGAAGAGTATTTTAAGAGCGAGTGAGTTAATTAAGATAAAAGCCTTATATAACTCACAGCAGTATATAAAACTTCTCAATTAGCAGACCAGTTACAATACAATCAGGGACACTTCATCTACTCTCAAGTTACAAACATGAAGTCTTTGCTCATAAACAGAAAGATATATTAGTCTATGAGGAATAATCAGTATCAATGGTGTCCAAGACAGTATGGGGACAGACCAACTGCTGCTGTCTAGGACCTCAGGCTTTAATTACAGGCTTCCAAAAGCAGACAGGATCCGCCACTTCTAATCTGAATCAATGCGCAGACAACAAGCCACTCTCCCACACACTGTCATAGATACCTCCTCATCTTCGGAGGCCGCAAACAATCAAAATGACACAATCAGGTAACTGCTTTAGCACAGCCCAGAAGAGTTCCTAATAAAGAATAAATTTCACATAAAGGGTGAATAACATATTAAAGCCCTGGGATTTGGAAAGTAATTAACTTATACATATCTTTACATCTACAATAGTAAATAACACGTGAAATTATGACATATTTCAAGTAAAAATAACTCCTTTTCCTCCACGTTTGCAGCTATTAATCTAAAACATTTGGAAGGTCTTCATTTCTCACCGCTCTGCAATGGTGGTCAAATTTGTGCCTCCCACAAATATCCAATAATCAACCTGTCAATGGATTCCCTCTCTGAACTTGGTTCTTTTTTACTTTGCAGTAAGAAGTTCAAAGGTTTGAATAACAGGCTGAGGTCCTTCTGGGATGAGTTTGAGTTTTGTCCCTCTGCATATATATTGATTCTCACCAACTGGCCCAGCTTTTTCTAACGTTCCATAAACATTACAGCTAGCTCAACTGGTCTCTCTAAATCACTTTTAAGTTGCATGAATAGGCAATCAGACAATGGATAGATGATGAAAACCATGTGTAACTCTCCTTTGTGTTCATAATTATTAGCTCCTTTGTTTGGTTCTATTACATAAAACACAATTTCACATGTGGCAAAATTCAGGGAAATTTAAAACTTTTGGAAAGCACCATAAACTTAAATAAACAAACTATATATATATATAATATATATATATATATTATATATATATATATTATATATATATATATATATATATATATATATATATATATAGTAAAGATAATGTACAATTCAATTACTGAATAAGGACTTGATTGTTTCTTACAAATGCTCAAATATAAGTAAAAGTGAGGGAAAAAAACTCCTTATCTGGGATTGGAGAGAAAAATGTATTAAGTGAAAGGAGCATAGAGTGGATCTAAATGTTATTAAACCCGGGGTGTACTTATTCTTTCAGTCCCAAAATCAAGGCTTTTTTTTTTCTTCTTTTGTCCTCCACTTGTCCTACATAACATGCTGTCATGAGATGTGAGGAGTGAGCCAAAAATGAGTGAAAAAGCAAATAAGTTTTCAAAGAAATCCTTAAAAGACTGTCAGCATGCCCGAGGATCTATTGATGGAGAGCAATTTAAAAGATTGTAAGAAAGCCTGGTTCCTTTAAAAGCTAAGTATGAAGAAATAGGGAGTGGAAGAAACTTTTCAGCACTAAAAAATTAAAGTTTTTTTCTTTCTGAATAACCTTGAGAGGTATATATAAACAAACAGTAATTAAGAAGGATAAATAAATTAACATATCTCCAAGTTTGGGACAGAGCAACATGACGCTACTTAATTATGTAATCTTAGCAGAAGGTAATGAAATAAAGAACGCAAATCATTGATTAGAACTAATTTTATTGCTCGTCTTTGTTATGCACTACAGGGAACAATTAGTGCTAAGCTGTGCTGATAGTGCACCTGTGGAAAGATGAATGAGAATCCAGTGGATTAATAGCACTGGTGAGGAAGAAACAGCAGGTTGAGAAGCGGAGAGGAGAATCCTTAATAGTCTCTTCACGCTCTATAAGCTGCTAAAGTGACCGCTAGTCTGAAGTACATTGATTCTAAACCAATTAAGAAAAATGGGTCGATGGTGGCCACTGGTACCTTTGAGTTCTGGTTCCTTGGAAAGAAAAAAACTGTTTGTAGGTAATCTTATAAGGGCAGATGTCTGGGAAGTAAAGTGTTTTTTTATTAACTTTGCAGACCCTGAAGTTACAGAACTGAGCGGCAGAACCACACAGGAAACCATTTAAAGGAAAGTCAAATAGCTGCAACCTCAGCAAATATTACGGTGTGGTACAGCATTTAGAGATTTTCCACAGAGAAAGAGTATCAAGAGAGCAATATGGCTTTTCTATTTTGCCTTAGAAGAACATTGAAGGGAATGGGAGAGAAACATGAAAGGGAAAGTTAGAAATATTCAGTTTTTTTAACATTTTAAATATCAAATACATGCTTCAATAAAGATACATCAATGTATAAAACATTGTTTAATCCATACATGTTGCTGCCCTTCCAGTCTTAACTCTATACCTCTAAACCAAGGATGTCCACATGTTTTAGATGTTCCCCTGCTTCAAATAATTGCAGCTTATCAAAAGTCTGTTAATGAGCCATCAAACAGAAGCAAGGACAAATCTTAAACATGCAGGATACTGGCATTCTTGGACTGGAATTATATACCGCTGTTCTAAACGATAACTTTTAGAGCAGTTCATGCGTGACTGATTTATAGCTCCTTTCTAAGTACTAGTTAGACTTTGATGCAAATTACAATCAAACTCTCTTTAGATAAATGACAGCATGGCCATGAAAACTCTAGGATATTTGCTGTAGAAGCAGGAAGCACGGGAGGAAGAGATTAGCATTAATTTCAGACAAACCTTTTGGGCACCTTTGAATAAAAAAAACTATATTAGAGTCTTGGGGGAAAATTAGAGTGTAGCTCTGACTAGTCTTAAGAACTTTAGATTATAAGGTAGAGGAAAAAGAAGCCATGCCTGATCATTTGAAAACTGAAATAACATATTGTCAGGCGTCATTTGCATGCAAACTATGAGTTGTCACTAGTGTAAAGAATTGATGCCAGACTCATTGGAGTAACCCTGTCTGAACGCACTGTACAGTCAATGCCAATGCATCAATCCATTCACCACCAGTGAGGAAAAAGCAAGAAGAGAAAGATCATTATTTTCAACAAGGAGAAGTTATTTAAGGTGATTTATTTGTGCCACTACATAGTATAACTTCTACCAGTGACAAGCATGGCTAGAAATAAATGAGAGGAAAAAAAATCAAGGCAACAAAATACATTAGATTAGACAACTACATTTGAAAGAACATAATTCTCAACATCTTCTAAAGCTTTGCCACCATCCACAGTAGCATCAAACATGACTAAAGGATCATCATAGATAAATTGACATAAGGTGGCACCTCTACACTGCAAGATGACAAAGTTTGTCTAAATCCAAGTCTAACTTTGCAAATAGACAAAGACATTTTACATTTAAAATAAGAAACACTTGCATTGTTTTATTTCAAATGTATATTATCTAATTATCTCATTCTAAGAGTGAAAATATTGATTCCATTGGCATATCATCTTATTTACCTACTCAAATCAAGGGTAAATACACTTAACTAGAAATTCTTACTTATCTCTAGATCGTTTTTGCACAGCTCTCACTCTCTGATCTTATCCATCCTTATATTAGTTGGAGAGGCGACCTGTCCAGGGTGTGTCCACTTCTCAGCCAGTCCCCCCCCACCCATTAACGACAAGCAAGCAAAGACAATGGTTGGAAGGATGATTGGATGTTAGAGGCAATTCTTAGAAGGGATTTTATCAGACTTTAACAAAATGCTTCACAATCTTCAGTGGAACCTGTCAAGTCACTCAGCCATCAAAGAGATCCTAAAGCCAAATGATTCTCTTTAACCTCCCCTACTACACATTGATCCAGGCAGTTATGTCTTACCGCCTAAAGAGATAACCAATCCAAATGCATATGATGCAGAAATAGCAAATGAGGGCTTTCCTTTAAAACTGCGTTTTGGTGAAAGTATGCATACTCCTATTATCTAGCCGTTTTTCACTACATTTGCTGTACAGCTGTTATTAAAAAATATACCACTTGCTATCTCATATAAAGTTACTTTAAGAACCCCACTCTGCTACTTGTGTTTTTGTGGCAGAGCATTTCATACTACGGTAGTTGTAATACCTACCTTTTCATAAACAGATTCAATAATGCTCCCTGGGAGATGCAGTTTGAGATTACTTCTGAGAACTGCACTATAATCACTACTTTTTGTCTAGCTTTCCAACCCTTAAGAATTCAACATCCAGACAGTAAACAACACAATATTCCATAATGTTGTTTCCTTGTTTATTGAGTTCTTTCAGCCGAGAGCACCGTGATAATAATGAGCCAGCAGCACGGATGTAGTTGAGCTTTGCTCCGTTTTCCTAGAATTTCTGATGCTATTTTCCTAATTATTCCAGTTTGTTGTTTTGGTATGCTACAAATATCCTTTTCTAGCAAAGTCTCACCCAAATAAATTTTTATATATAAAAAAAAAATATATATTCAGATGAACTTTCACAAACATATTTATCTTCGCCTAGATATCATTAAATGGTTTGCCGGAACTCACCAATTCAACGCTGCTCGTCATCAACATCAAATATAAGTTACCAGTTCTTCCTTAAATCGCTTGATTGACAAGTGAATAGACTTATCTTTCAATGTTTACCAAATGCATAAAAAAGCCCAAAGTCATACAGCATTGCTATGTTATGCATACAACTATTGTTTGACAATTCCAGTCCTGACCCAAAGTACTTTAAATAATTTGTATAATTTGTTGTAACTCTTTTAGGACCTGGGATTACTCTGCTATTTGAAACTTAAAATCAAACAGATTGTAAAACAATAGCAGTTTGAATGACCACCAGCAGGGTTGGTGTTTTCCAGCTACACAGATGGGTACAAGAAGGCGACAGCTGCTCTGGCTAATTACTTACATTTTATTAAAGGCTAGAGAAGAAAAACAGGTATTATTTCCCACAAAAAAATAAAAAAAAACAGTATCATAGTCTACTTTGTGTGTGGTGTTCAAAGCTAAACCCACTAAAAAATGTAAAAAGTAACAACATTCTCTACTACTAAACTGGCTGAAACTACAGATAACTAAAAAATGGGCTTCCAGGTTTCAATGGAAGGCAGGTCTGAAAGCACAAGGCTGCAAATCTGACACAGTATCAAAGGAGCTACTGTCTCACATCTTACTGTACCTATGAGGCCTATCAAACTAAAGTAATGAAGGAACTTTTTTGCACAATAAATTTTAAATCAAATTTATAACATGAACAGAGGTTCTTTCTTTATCAGATCTGAGTTTCCCTTCCATAACTTCTAATTTACAATAAAACAACATTTCAAGCTGTAATTTATAATTAAGCTCTCTCAAATGAAACTGAGTAAATCTTTGATCTGCCAAAATGAAATAAAATGCTCCATAATTGATGAAATCAAGAATCGAAATGGTGAACATGAAAAAAAGAACTGTAAAGAAGTTTTTGGTGACCGAAGTGTTCTGAAACACCATCTATTAGCAGCAGTTAGTATATACATAAAATATGGTTCAGCGCACTTATGAAAAAAAAAAAAAAAGAAAATAAAAACAATCACTCAGTAGTAACTTCAAGCTGACCTCTTATGACAAAATTAGAAATCATCATTCATACACATACAAAATTACATTTCTTTTTTTGTCCTTTAAGAATAAATTCTGTAAACACTGTTTAAGATCCTTCGGGTTATTATTCCTTTTTTTCAATACACATTTGTTTTACAATCTGAATATTTTTTTATCCTCCTTTGGAAAACAGTCCAAGGCTTCTAGTTTGGCTCCTGTAGCTGATTTTTATATATTTCTCCATTATCAATCAATCATACCTTTTAACCTGTCTCAAGTCAAACCTTTCTGAAGTTAAGAAACTAGAAGAATTGAATGGAAGCTCTGGTATGATATCTACATGTGGGTGTTTTGAAAGTCTTGAAACATTTGTAGGCACCCACACATCACATCGAAGGGGACAAAGAGTGCTGGACAAGGCTAGGATTGAATATAGATAAGGCATAGTCTGGGTAGACGTTGGGAAGGTCTGAGTTGGAAGTTCAAACACAACAGATAGATCGTTAGCCATTTTTGTTTCTTTCAAATGGTGGTAGAGAATAATTTGTATAAGGAAGTGCAGGACTGCTATGTTCAGAGGGCTTGCAGGAATTCCTGGAGCTGCCTGACCAGCTCTGTGTCCACAGTCTCCATTAGGACCCCGAAGTTCTGGTCCCCCATCATAGCTTGTTGTGCCTTCAGTTTTTCATAGACAAACTGCTGAAGAGACACGCTGTGGACAGGGTCCTCCAGGGCCAACTGCAGGAGAGAAAAACAAACAGAAATTACTTTAAAAGTGGTATTATGTGAGGTCGCAGGTCTCTCTGGGAACTAATAATGTGTGATAAATTCAGAGGCTCAAAGTTTCTGAATTCATCATTGAAATAAAACAGCGTTATAGTTAAGTTACTACCTTTACCAGTTTAAGAGATATTCTTTTGTTGTTTGAATTGTGGCTTAAAAGTCGATAGAAAAGACCACATTTAAAAACAAATTCAATATTAAAAAATATATTATCTATGTAAAATTTTCAAATTAATTTGCCAAAATTAACCATGTAGAATTGGACTCACTATTTCCTATCTGTCCATCTTAATCAACACATGGGACTTTTGGCCTAATGTTGAGAAGGCTGCAAGTACCCGGTTCGATCCCTGCAGCCTCCACTCTGGGTTCCTGAGCAAAACGTAACCCAACACTGCTCCCTGGGCGCCACACAATGGCAACCCACTGCTCCCCGAGGGGATGGGTTAAATGCAGAGTGAATTTCCCCATTGTGGGACAATAAAGGGGTTACATTTAAATTACAGAACATAAAACGAGACATATTATACAAGCTCTTTGTAGAATGCAAAACAAAGAGATTGAAAGTGGACCTGACTCTTTTACTTAACAAACTGATTTGTCTAAATGGAGTTGTAATTAACATTAGTAACAATAAGCAAGTTTTAGGAAGACAAACATGTAGTGTCTGGATCAATATCACTAAGTTCAAGTGGATTTTGAAAAAAAAAGAGAAAAGCAGTTCAGACAAGATGGCCTTTCTCAAGACGGATGTAAACATTAAACAAAGAATCAGAAAGAAAATGACTCAGTATATGTGGTCACAGCCATTCATCTTATACAGAGGAAGCCCTGGAAAAACAGTCCTTGACAATAGAGTGAAAAAGAGGCCGGGAAAGTTAGATGGCTGACTGGAGATGATACATTTCTGTGGCTAAGCATACAGTCATTTATTCTCTGTGAAGTGGAACCAGGGAAGAGGCAAACAACAGCACAGTTAAGGTTGAAAGGCTCCACTCTGCAAAGAAACTGTAGTGACAATATCACTACTTTCAACATCGTTTGACAAAAAGGCAAAGTCTATTTGCACTAGCCTGTAAATGAAAGGAATCAAACGCACTATTCTTATTTTGTTTTCAACGATCATATGAGGTGCATTTTCAATCACTATTTACTTCCTGGGTATATTTTGTCTTTCTCACTAGAGTTACATATGATTTCAGACCAAACATTGACATGATAGCAGCACAGGGATGAAAGAACATTGCCAACTCCAATAAGGAGAAAAGGAAAAAACGTCCAGAAGCAGAGTATTGTAATGAAAATATTTATCCACTAATGGGTCGTGGGGAAAAAAACCACTTGCCATGGTAATTACTACTTTGACATGGCAGTGCAATCAATTTATTGAAGTGTCCTAATGGAAAAACTACCACTTAACTTGCATAATTACCTTCAGCATAAACGACCTGGGTGAAGGATCGCTCTGTCTTTGAACAGGACCTAAACCCCGTTTTTGAGATTGAAACTATAAATTATGCTGGAGTTGTAAATAAAAGCATTAAAGGAAAAATTTAAAGTAAATTTAAAGTATAAAGTATAATTTAAGTAATCTTTAGAGCTGAAATAGTGATTTTAATAGAGATTAATTGTTTTGTGATAAAAAATAAATGATTAATTAAGGGAGACCGGTGATCGGACGATACTTAGATGTGAAACCTTTTATCTTAGACTCGATTGGCTTTATTCAGAATCTGAATAGTCCACACGTTCTCATTTTAATACGTTGGACCTCGTGGTGACATAAGGTGTACGAAGAAGTAATAATATTTCCTCACAATCCTGTCCTATCTGATCACTTTTTATTTACCTTCAAAATTGCATTAACAAAGTACTCCTCCCCCAAAAGATGGTTTCACTTGAGCAGATCATTATCACATCATGCAGTAAGAAATTTAAGAGAAAGTCTAAATGAGACAATGCTTACAGATGGTTTGAAAGAGGAATGAGGGAACTAATAATGTGTGATAAATTCAGAGGCTCAAAGTTTCTGAATTCATTACTGAAATAAAACAGCGTTATAGTTAAGTTACTACCTTTACCAGTTTAAGAGATATTCTTTTGTTGTTTGAATTGTGGCTTATAAGTCGATAGAAAAGACCAAATTTAAAAACAAATTCAATATTAAAAAATATATGATCTATGTAAAATTTTCAAATTACTTTGCCAAAATCACTTACAGATGGTTTGAAAGAGGGATGAGGGGAGTCATCTTTGTTAAGAGAGAAAAAAACATCACTGAACAGAGGGAGAGGATTGCAGTTACAGCTTCCAAGCATTAACAATTCGGAACTCATTCCAAAGAAATTACAAAAGTACATTCATCCTCGTTCAAAAGGCCAAATGCATAGTACATGCACAACAAAAGACTCCAACAATCCAGAAGATTGCATCTTTTTAGCAAAGCAGTGTAAATCGATAAAAACACTTCAGGGAAATGAAGAAAGAGATAAGGAGACTGTCTTACAGATGAATCGGCAGAATGCTAGCAGGTGAGTGTGAGCTAGAAAGTACAATGCTTCTGCAAGCAGCAGGTGTGTCTGGATGAAGAGCAATGCACTTGAGACATGATGTCCAGGGACTTTGCTTGAAACTGCACTGATACAAAAACAGAAAGAAAAACTGTAGAGTAGCTCCTATTGCAAAAAAACAAAAACAAAAAACATAAGTCTGACCCAGTGTCTCCTCTTGGGAAAAAAACAGAGTCAACAATAAGGACACAAGAGAGTTACTAGGCAAGGAGAGGTAGAGGATATGCTAGGCTGAGAAAAAATATATAAGAGAGTTGGTTTAAAAAAAACATTGAAAAGACACAAGGCATGAAAGAAGATTGTTGTGATATAGAATACGAAAGACAAAGGTGGAACAGATCCGGTACATAATGACAGACCTGCCAACTTTCATTATACGGCTTTGTTAAGGCTGGGATTAGTGGTTTGATAATTACCTTTCAAGTAGTCATCAAACTCCTGGGGACATTTTCTAAAGAAAAGTACTTCAAGGATATCTAATCTAAGAATTTAAACACACGCTATAAAGAGACCAACTTCGTTCTTACCGCCTGACGATAATAAAAAAAAAAGTATGCTTTTATTTATCTTTTATTCTTCTATCTTTATTATTTCTTCAAAGCCAGAACTTTAAAAACAATCCTTAGTATTTGGTAGTATGAGCATTGACACATCTTCAGTCATAGACAGGTTGTGCTTACAAATCTAAATTTTTTTGTTTTTGATAATCTTTTTCAAAAAGTAAACCAAAATATCTGAGAATTTAATTTTCATGCACCTATAAATAAGAAATAACATGTATGTAAAAGGATTGTATTTTGAAAAACAATTACACAAATGAAGCTAATCACATTAAATGCATTTATGTTAAGGTCTGTTTGAGGACACACAATGGATATCAACACGTAAGACTCTGCTTTTAAGTTCTCTTGCATGCAAGTTTTTCCCCTCCAAGTACAAATCTTGACCATTTAATTCCCTCTAAGCGGATTAGTTAATGTCACATCAATCACTAATTTACAATTGAGTCAGAAAAAAGGTGGATTTAGCTGTCAGGGTTGTGCAATCAGGAATAAGTCAAAACTTGTCAAGGTATAGTTTAACACCTTAAGACTGAGCATACCAGTACCAGTCTGAGCCACTAAGGGCAGAGCTTTGTCTTTTTATTTTTACAGCTTAAATTTATTTTAACAGAGAAGATACCATTTCACCGTCTATCAAAAACTTCTGCCTCTCATAAAAATGCTTCACTTCACTGCCAGAACTGCTGCGCACACAGAGAGACACAAGAGGCTTGTTGATTTTTTCGCTGCTTTTTGTGCATTTTTTTTTTTTAAACTGTTGCGGGCACAGAATTGAAAATGTTCCATCCAGAAGCCTTTGGAGGAAATCCTTAGGGAGATTTTTTGTGCTCGTGATCAGATTATGAGAATGATAAAGATGAACAGCAGCTCATACTAAAACCCATTAATGACTAAGTCATTCTAAATTTTTATTTCCATTATTAAACTTACATTTCAATTGCAGTTATTCACAAATAATGCGGCTATTTTATGGTATGTTTCTTTTCTTCAAGAATCAGAGTTAGTCATTAATACAGGTCAATTTGTAATTGTTTTTTCTGCATTTCACATAATTGAATGATTTCTTAGTGATGAATATATGGAGACATCAATCAATAGTAAGTTTTAGAAACTGGTAAAAATAAAGTTGCAGTAATTTAAGTTCTGACGACATTCATTAAACTTGTCACACTGCTCCCTTCGCAGCGTCGTAGTTAGCATTCACCATGAGTTGTGGGTCATCAGAGTAATGTTATGACTTCAAAATAAAAGGTTGAATGCCTTGCAGCTGCATAGCTCTACCTCTCTGATCTTCGTTTTTTCCTCAGGGTTATAGTCTGTCAGCCTGGATAAAATGTCTTCAGAATCCAATTTGGAATCAGTTAAAAGGTTTCCATTTTAGAACGGTTTTTACTAAGACCAACAATTGTCTTAAAACTTATTTTGTTGAGATTGGGGCCATTGTATTTTTTTTGTTTTGTGTCAGTCCTTCCAACCACTTGTGACATTATAGATCTTAATAATCACACTGCCCAAATAAATTATTTTAGCCATGCTTTTAAGAGATGTATACTTTGTAAAATAGTAATTTATAATATAATATGATGATGTTTATAATTTTACTGTTGTTAAAAATAGGATAAGCTTCTGGCAGTAAGGTTTGATTAAGTTCAAATACAAAAACAATTAATTTCCACCAATATGAAAATCTACAAAATGATTGTTTTTCTGTTAAAGGCTTAATGAGTTTTTGTGTATAGGTCTAAGAACTGAGATTTTATAGTGTCAAAGTATTATAGGAACATTGTATAAATACATAGTCATGCAAAAGCAAAATGGAAAA